TAACCGCCACTCCCGCGGCCTCCGCCGAAGTTGCTGCCACCAAACCTTCCTCCCCCTCGTCCTCTGCCTCTTCCTCGACCATATCCACGGCCGATGCTCGCTGCCCCAGCGCCATCCGCACTCGCCAACTCACGGCGGCGGAAATCCTCTTGAAGGATAGCTCGCTTCACGTCTTCAAGCGAGAGGCGGGGCAAGTCGCGATTAAGGTTGATGATGAGCGAGGACCATGACTCAGGGAGTAGGGCCAGCAACTTGGTCTTCTTTTGGAGCTCACTATAGTTCAAATCAGCTCCCTCAAGCCGCGTCAACAAGTCGAAGAATTTCTGCACCCCTTCTTCAACCGCTTCATCCTCTTCAATTCGTAGTGTCGCCATTTGCCGTTCCAACACCACAGCTACCGCCGCTGTTGCAGGAGCGTGTACACCCTTGAGAGCAGCCCATGCCTTTGGTCCCTTTTCTGGTTCACGCTGGAAAGACTTGATGTGACGGATCTGGCTGCTCCCCAACGCTTGCCCTAGTAGGAGGTAGCCTTGTGCGCTCTTCCGCACCCACGGGCTCTTCTCCGGGTCGTTCTCGGGGCGCTTCTCCGTTCCTTCCATCACCTCCAGCAGGTCATAGTGATCAAACACGTTCTCCATTCTGAAGGACCACTCAGCAAAGTTGTCACCGTTGAACTTGTCAAGGCCAAACACTCTAGGCTCGTCCCTAGATGGGCCAACACTTGGTTGCACGGGCGCCATGGCTGAGTCACGGGGTTGGCCTTGAGCTTGGGCTTCTCCACTGCCACCAGCACCTCTGCCACCCCTTTCCTCAGGTCCAGCAATTGTCGAAACTGCTCCAAGGGCTCTGATACCACTTGTTATAGTCACAGTAGGCTCCAATGTGCCTAAAACGAAAGATAGAGTGCACAGCCGGATTTCTGCACAGCGGCTTCAAACGTTCATAGCGTTCTGGTCACGGCTTCAAATGACCTGATTCAACTTGGATCTGGCGCGTCTTAATGTTGCCTACAATAGGAAATTTAGATCGCACGATTCGACCAAGTATTGACGACACAGCGTTGGTTTGAACGAACGGCACTATGGCAGCCACTATAGTCTTAGAACACAAGATAGGAAGAGTTAGCAAGGGTTACGAGTTGGGAATGACTCCCAGCTCCTACAAACTCCAAGAGCCGAGGTACAGTGATGTGGAACAGTGCCACACTGTCCCCAACCACGAAGGGTCTCGAAACTACCCTTCACTAGGGCCTACACCAAGTGAAATGTTACACTACACAAAGTAATGTAACTATCTTCAATATTTTGAGGTGTACCCTTTTGGCGAGCTTCGAAATCACTTGAGGCTTGACACCAAGGCTCGGGCTCTTCATCACAAACTCATCCTTGAGTTCTTGATGGGTCTGCTGCACACACCTGCGACACACCGAACGTTCGACACAGGACAAAATAGAAACCGCGCACGACAAAATAGAAACCGCGCGCGAGACACAAACGACCGCGTAACACGCGTCTAGCGATAACTCGCTATTGACTCGACACACACACTCGACATCATGACTCAACATTCACACACAATTATAAGCATGAAATATATATTATCCCATGCCCTCATACCATTCCATACACACACACATGCACGCACACGGACAACAAGCCGAGTGCAAACCGTAGGGTTGCACCAACATGGACTACCTGGAATCCAACTTCAGCTACACCATCACGTACAAGAAAGGCGCCAACAACATCGCCGACGCCTTGACCCGACCAACCATGCAGACCGCAGCTGTACTAGTCGCTCGCACCAACCCGATTTTAACGGGACTATTCACCCACGGATACACGATCGACATGTTTTTTCAGGAATATTCACCGGCGGGCTACGACACAGCACGGGAAATATTACCTAAAAGCCGGTACGAACCGGATTTGGGTCTCCGGAACTATTGGTCCGACATGCTAACGGACGTGCATCGCTACGTGACAACGTGCCCAACCTGCCAAGCCATGAAGTCGTCGCGACAACTGCCAGCAAGATTGCTGCAGCCGCTCGAGCCACCCGAACGACAGTGGCAACAACTGACGTTGGATTTCGTCACCGGACTGCCAGCTGGCGCAAGTGGCAACGACTCGGTGCCGGTCGTCGTTGACCGATTAACGAAAATGGCGCATTTCGCACCATGCCGTACGACGATCACAACCGAAGAAACAGCGAAGCTGCTCATCTCAACTGTCGTACGCTCACACCGGTTACCTTCGGCGATCGTCAGCGATCGAGATCCGAAATTTACGTCGAAATTCTGGCAGGAGACGTGGGCACAGTACGACACCCGCCTGCAGTTTTCGTCGTCTTACCACCCGCTGACCGACGGTCAGACCGAAAGAACCCATCAGACCATGGAGCAGCTGATACGCACCAACTGCCCCGACCTGACCAAGTGGGAGGATTCGCTCCCGATGCTGGAGTTTGCGTATAACAACGCCCCATCCGCCATGACTAAACAATCGCCGATTTACCTGAATTACGGGATAGACCCCGTGGTACCCTCATCAACGACCCCCGACAATCCAGTGCCACGGTCTCAGCAGTTCGTCAAAAAACTTCAAGCAGCCCGTGACAAAGCAGCAGATTTTATCCAGAAGACTAATACCGTCGCTAGCCGCAATGCTGATAAACATCGCAGGGATGTACCCTTTCGCGTCGGGCAGATGGTCCTCGTGGATACGAAGAGTCTTCGCCTGCCCCAGCCAGCAAACTCTGTCCCCGCTACAGGGGCACCCGGTTCTCCATGCTTCTTTGACTAGCCAGCATGTTCCGGATATCCACCACCTTTCTTAAAGGGGGGGGGGGGGGGGGGGGGGAGGGTAGTGTAAGGAATTTCCCCTAATTCCTTACTGACTCGCACTGTACGTGTACGGACTCCAACTTTCGGAGTTCAGGCTCGGTCCGATGACCTCGCCCTCCGAACCACCATCGCGTCGCCTTCGGGCTTCCCAACCGCGAACCTGCACCCAACCATTCACGGTCCCGCGACCTCGGCCTAGCTAGCATTTGCTATATTAGTGCTAGACTTTAGAATTTGCTTTAGTACTTGAATCCTCACTCTTCTTCATTACAACTCATAACACGAGGTGAGCATATATTCCGAATAATGTACCAAGTGTTCTTCCCGCATGCTGCGTGAGCCCACTGTTGATTTGCTGCAGTGCGGACCGGATGGGTCTCGCGGCACCGCCACGCGAGGTTTGGGGGCCTTGATGGTTCGAGGCAGATTCTCAGCGTCCAAACCGCTCTCAAGTGAAGATACAAAGATCAGGGTGGTCACTCTCTACTACCGATCTTTTCCGCAGGTAACCAGGGCTACGAAAATCACATTCCCACGAACCAACAAAACGACCAATGGTTTGGCCGATTGAGGGACTCCAGTGGAGGTGGGAGCTTTGACTACCACGTTGTTGTTGACACCGCCAACCTTTTGAAGATGATCGACTGGGCACTATGAAAGTCCGTGCTTTTCAAGATGCCCGAAAGGGGAAACCCCTTTCCCCTGCCATACGCGCCCCGCTGCCGCAATCACTTGACTGATTTGAGGAAATGACGAACCGCCGTCTTTTCTTATTTTCGATTCCAATGGGCAGTGGTTTTGACCACGCATTGCTCCGCGATCGCGCCCAATTCCCGCGGACAGTTTGTGGCCCTGAACGCACATGGTAAGTTAGTTTCCGGGGTAAACAAGTATATACCCCTCGGTAGAGACATTTAACATGGGAGGCATCAACCCTAAACACAATGTGGCAAGGTGTTTAGGGTTGATGCCTCCCCTGTTCGCTTGGCTTTCCCTAGAGGGTTTATTTTTTTTGCCCCAGAGAAACTGTGTTGAGAAAAACAAACTGCCCTTGGGAATTGGGCGCGATCGCGAAGCGATGCGAGGTCAAAGCCACTGCTCATTGGAATCAAAAACAAAAAACACCGCGATTCGTCATTTCCTCGACTGATTTGCTTGCTTGCTTCACTGCAGCAGCCAACCACATTTTCAGACACCCAGCAGAGATGGCGCTCGGTCGGATCAGTCGACTTCTCTTCTCCCCTCGGCTCCTCCATTCCAACCAATTTCAACCATGACTTGCTTACCAGAATCAGCTGGTATCATTGGGTGACTAGGTGGCTCGCAACATAACGTACAGGGCCAGCAGCAGCAGCAGCAACGGCAGCATCGGGTTCATTCAAGCCGAAGCGATGAAACGGCAATACCGCTTTTCTCATGCGGCCGCCCTGCTGATCATCCTGCTAGGCCTCCTCCTTAATGGCCGCTCGACGCGTGGCGTTCAGACCATCAGGAGCACTTTCAAGTCCAGGAGTCGCCTTATTCTCCTTCCAAATAACTCCTTCGGCGGAAGGTGCCTCGACGGAAGGTGCGTGCTCACTTGGCCGTGGTCATTTAGAACCCTAGGCGGTTAGCCCCACTCAGAATGCGGCGGATCCGCGGAATGGACATCAAAGAAGCCCTGGCGAAATCCGGTTGGGAGATTCGCTGTGCGCCTTGACAGCCAACAGCCCGACGAATCTATCCTGTCTGAAGATACCGTCGGATGGACGCACGAGCAGCAATGTCGCATCGCTACTCGCAGATCACTCTATTCACGAACTCGCGAGTCGAACACCGTCACAGTCGCCGCCGGCTACAATCCGCGCACCGATTACCGTGCGGCGTAGCCTGTCTTTCGCTGTCAACTCCACTCGAATACACGCGAAGCTTCGTACGTGTTATTCAGCCCAGCAGCAGGGTTCGGACACAACCGCCCGGCAGGCATCAAATGTATTTCCCACACTGACCGTTTTGTATCTTCCTCGACTCGTATGGCAAAGCGGGACCTTAAGAGAGCCCTGTTGCATCGGAAGTGTCAACGATTAATCTGTGTTCCAACCATCCCCACCGCCGCATCGCCCCATCCCTCCTCCTCCCCCTCTCATCCCTCCATTCCCTCCCCCTCTTCCTCCAGCCCCCCAGGGTACTACTATCGGCCGGGGACGGGCGCGGGGCGGCTGAGGTGGCACATTCACCTACTGGGGGGCGGGTGGTGTGCGTCGGAGGGGGAATGCGTGAATCGATCGCTCACCGTCATTGGCTCGTCCAAGTACTGGGCCGCCGATCCCGAGTTGCGCAAGGTATCATGGCACGGAAAAGCCGCCGTCTTGGTGCATTTTTTTCGGCTTGTTCTTTTAGGTCGTGCTAGCAGTGGTGGCAGTGGGAGCGGGCAACAAGGAGATGGGAGGAAAACCACAGTATAGTCAAGCATTGGTAGTAGCCATCTATTCGTCCCTTCTCGCCCTTCTCCCGCCTCCTCTTCCTTATCTTCTCTCCTCTCACCCTCCACACCCTCCTTCCGTTAACCTTCCCCTCCCACGCGCGCCCCGCCGGTCCCCGCGACCAGGGAAACCAACACGCGCCTAAGATGCGCGGAATACTGTCTGAGAGGAGGCGCAGCAACCCCGCGTTCCACTCGTGGAACCTCGTCGTGATGCTCTACTGCGATGGCGGCGGGTACATGAGCATACGCGGCCCTGTGCTCGTGCGCGTGGGCCCTGGGAAGCAGCGCATGATTCACATGCAGGGGTGGAACAACGTCCAGGCTGTGATGCATGGTGTGTGCCGCTGCTCAAGCAGGCCGTGGCCTGCGGAACTGGGTGGTTTCACTTTCACTGGCATCCACCTTTTCTTCAGCCACCCTGTTACCACCTCCCTGCTCCCACCCTTCCCTCACCCTCGCGCCTCTCCCCATCCACCTTTTCCACCATCCCTCTTTCGACCATCCCTCGTTCTATCATCTCTCTTCCCCTTTCCCCTTCCTCCCATCCCCTTACACCCTGCCTCTTCCCCTCTCCATTCTTCCCTCTTGCCTCTTCCCCTTTCCATTCTACATTAACATCAAATCGCAAATGCTGATTCCCTCACTTTCACTCTCCCAGCGTCCTTGCCATCTCGTCACCTTGCAATTATCCTCCCTGAGAATCCCCCAGGGCGTCTCTCCTCTCACGCCACCACCTGCCCCTCCCCATACCCGCGTCTTCGTCCCCTCGGTCCCGCCAGACATAAAGCTCAACCGAGGAGCAAACGCTGCGACACAGGTTCTGCTGTCGGGGTGTTCGGCGGGTGGGCAGGCTGTGATCATGCTGTGCGATCGCATGGCGGCTGCCTTCCCTGCTGCTGCCACCAAGTGCCTCTCGGACTCTGCCTTCATTACTGGTCAGCGTTCTTTTTTGCCTTGTGCAGGCATTTCCCTTCTTCCCTTGAGCTGGTGGCAAAGATCCAACACTTTCTGATCATCAATGCTTCGTATCTGCTGTGCTCTTACTTACTGCTATAGCCCTACCGTTCTGTAAGTCATGTGTATGCTTTTGTGCTCTCAACCGCACTTCCCAACAATGTAACGCTTGGCAGATGCCAAGGACAGATTGGGAGAGCGGCATGCGAGGCAGTATGTGAAAGAAGTTGCAACGACACACAACATCAACATCCCTAACTGCTACACAGGTGCTGTGCCCTCACTTCTGAACTCACGTATGCACAATGAACATTAATGTCTCTCACTCATGACATCAGCCTCCTTTTCGTCTCCTGATCTCCGTCCTCGCAAGAGGTCCTGCTATCATTCCCATGTCTCACATGGAACAGTACCGGTTCTTGGAGCTTGCATTGCCACATGTTTACAAGTTCCAACGCACATACGCATCAGCATTCTTTTGTGAAACCTTACAGCCAGCCATCTCTTATTGGTCACCACTTTCCATGTGATCTGATGCAGGTGGGAGGGTACAACGCAGCTGGATGTGCTTCTTCCCTCAATACGCCCTCAAAACAGTTTCCACGCCCATCTTCCTCTACCAGTCGCTGTTCGACAAGACTCTGATCGCTTACGGTAACCAGTTACCCGGAGACACAAAGTACATGCGGATGTGTCTCCACAACGAGATATTTGGCCAGCATCCAAATATCGCGACCATCATTGAGTGGAGAGCGTGGGGTCGAGTGAATTGGACGAACTGGTATTGTCGACCTCAGGAGCGGCGCGCACTGTTGGACATGGCGTCCATTACCTACAGCCAGCTCAAGAAAGTTACCAAGGCTAGGAGAAATGTTGGGGTTTACTTGGCCTCCTCAGTTGTTCATACGTTATTGGCATCAAATGGGTGGGGAGCACTCATGGTAAAGGGCATGCGACTAAGAGCAGTCTTTACAAACTGGTACTTTGACTGGAGCAAGCAGAATGTGTTTATCTATAATTAAGTTTATAATGGAACTCCTGCACAGGGCAAATTTTATCAGTGTAAATCACCCTGATACCCTGATTATCAGGGTGGTATTTGGTAGTCACAATGATGGCCTAGGGTATTTTTTTCGGGAGCTAGAATTTTCCTGATATGCCAGGGTTTACATTTAAAGCACACTGATGACTCAGGGTTACCGATTTCATAACGAGTTTTACCCTGAAGCGAGTACCATACCCCCCCCACACCCCCCCCCCCCCCTCTCCCCCCTAACCCCCTCCCCCCCAATTCGCCGTCGCACTACTGTCCCGCGAACACGTTTAAAAAAAAAGAGCTATTGAATCACGCATGTTGGAGTGGCCCGGTCGGTAGATTGGGACTTCGGAAGGATGAAGACTTTGGATCGAGTCTTTTAGCTCGCATTTTTGTTCAGAACTTCAGTAGAAACACTTCATCAGGGTATTGAAAATTGTTGCACTGTGGCATAAGGGTAATTTTTTTGTAACTACGGAAAACCCTGATGGAAAAGAATTTTCCCAAGGGGTCACACTGATAATCAGGTTTTTGCAAAGGTGCAGGACTGATGATAAGGGTTGCTTAAAAAAAAAAATTAGCCATGCTCCTGCACTTGCCTGGTTGGTTGTGGTTCGAGCAGGGCTCTTGTTATCGCACCAATAGCCTGAATGGCATTCAGACACTCCTAAGGGCGGGGTCAGCGCGTTCGTTTTCCTGGCAAAACTCGAAACAGTTACCATCTTCAGCGTTTTGTAACCCTGATTTAGGGTAACGCGTGGACACGACGGAGTATACAGTGGATGAACGGTGTTAGTTTTCCGTGCCGTCTACCGAAAACAATACGTACATTACACACCCGCGAACACCCCGCGCAACATTCGAGAAAAACTGTAAGCAGATCGCGAAACCGCACCACGACTTCGTGAAGCACATGCGATTCTCGCAAATTCAAGGGTACACAAACACAGATTGGAAATCCGCCCCGTCGCCAAATCCACCAGCACAAGACCAACGAGTCCCACTCGACATATGTGAGCCTAGAAACCCTGCTGCGTGTCAAACTGTATGTTTGTGTTCTTCCTAGGCTATAGTGGGTTAGCCTACAAGGGGTACAACACTTTAGGGTTAGTACTTGTACCCAACTCATTCATAGTTCATTCATTCCTGCCTGCTTATTCTAACATGGTATTAGAGCAGAATCGTTCCTAGGGCCCACCGAACGTTCCGCACTGCCCTACCCGTAAAAAAATTCTTCCTACGCTGCCCCTGCAGCCGTCCTGCCCTTGCAGCCCGCGCGCTGCCCCTGCGACCGCGCTGCCCCTGCAGCCGTGCTCGCCCCTGCAACCGCGCTGCCCCTGCAGCCGTACTCGCCCCTGCGACCGTGCTGCCCCAGCAGCCGTGCCTGCCCCTGCGACCGTGCTGCCCCTGCAGCCGTGCCTGCCCCTGTGGCCCGCGTGCTGCCCCTGCAGCCCGCGTTTCGCCCCTGCAGCCCGTGGGCGCTGCCCCTGCAGCCCGCGCGCCGCCCTGCCGAGCCGTGCGTCGCCCCTGCATGTCAAAGTATATGCATGTTATATATGTGTAGGCTGTAGTGGGGTAGCCAATATGGGGTACAACCCTTTTTAGGGTTTCATACTTGTACCCAACTCTTTCATAGTTCATTCATTCCTGCTGCTAGATTATAACATGGTATCAGAGCACTAGGTCCGTAGGACCGTTTTTTTTTCGGGCCCACCTACCGTTGCGGTTACCGCGCTACCCCACGTGTTGTCCTGCGCCTGCCTGCCTGCCTGCCTTGCCTTGTGACGTGCTGCGCTGCGCGCGCCGTCCTGCAGCCCTCGCGCTGCCTACTGCTGCCCTAGGCCAGAGCGCCGCCCCTGCAGGCCCGTAAGGCCCGCGCGCCGCCTCTGCAGACACGTCAGGCCCGCGAGCCGCCCCTACAGGCCCGTCAAGCCAGAGCGCCGCCCCGCCAGGTCGCTGACGCATCAGGCCAGGTCGCCGCCCTGCGCGTCGCGCCCACAGCCCGCGCGTCGCGCTGCAGCCCCGCGCGCCGCGGCTGCCGTCCTCGCGCAGCCCGCGGCGGCTTCGCGCGCTGCGCCCGCAGCTCGCGTAGCACGCTGCAGCCCCGCGCGCCGCGGCTGCCCCTGTTCGTCGCGACGCCCTGGACGCCGCCCCTTCCTGGACGCCGTCGCTCCTGTAGCAGCTGCCGCGGAGCGCCCTGCCACAGTCGCGGCCCCGCCCTGCAGCAGCTGCCGCGGAGCCTTCTGCCGCCGTCGCGGACCCGCCCTGCAGCAGCTGCCGCGGAGCCTCCTGCCGCCGTCGCGGCCCTGCCCTGCAGCAGCTGCCGCGGAGCCTCCTGCCGCGGTCGCAGCCCCGCCCTGCAGCCGTCACGTCCCCGCCCTGCAGCAGCTGTCGCGGACCTTCCCTACCGCCGACGCGGCCCTGCTCTGCCGCAGCTGTAGCGGCCCCGCCGTCGCTGCCGTCGTGCGCCTGCCCTTCCCGCCACTGGTGAGCACCTGCCTTGTTCGCGCACTGCCTCGCTACCTGCCTGCCTGCCTGCCTGCCTGCCTGCCGGCCTGCCACGCCTGCCTGCCTGCCTGCCTGCCGCGCCTGCCCTGCCCGCGCTGCTACTGTTGCTACTGCTGCTCCTTTTGTTACTACTGCTAGGCTGCTGCTGCTGCTACTGGCGGTGGCCAGATGCAGCTCCAGCGACGTCCGCGTGAGTCTCTCACGCCCCAGCAGCTTCGTGAGTGGTACGCTAGTTGGGGTTGTGCCGGTAGCAGTCGTGGCTGTCGCCCTGGATCTGGTCAGTCGGGAGCGTCTGGTAGTGGCCAGCTGCAGCTGCAGCGGCGTCCACACGAGACACTTACGCCTCGGCAGCTTCGTGAGTGGTACGCTCAGAGTAGAGGGTCTCGGAGTACCGTTCGCTGCCCGTACGTCGTTCGCACAGGTGATCGGGCTGGTCAGGCTTGCGGGACGCTTGGTCACACACAGTCCCACTGCTTCGCCCGTCTGAGCGACGCCTGGCGTACCGAGTTTGGCGACGAGGCTGAGCTCCCCATCTGGCTAGAGCTGCTTGAGCAGAGGGTAGATATCTTTGCTCTTGACTATGATGCTATTCTCACTGCCATGTATGCATTGCCTACTAGTGCTGACCGTGCCTGTTACCTGTGCGTACCGCCTGACCCAGGTATAGAGCCTGCTGCTCTAGGTGCTGGTGAGGCTGCTGCTCTAGGTGCTAGTGCGTCTCCTGCTCTAGGTGCTGGTGAGGCTGCTGCTCCAGGTGCTGGTGAGTCTGCTCTCTCAGGTACTGCGCCTGCTGAGGCCTTGTACACCTTCACACTTGACTCAGGTGCTTCCCGCTCCTTCTTTCGCGACAGCACCACCCTCACGCCGCTCCGTCGGCCGGTTGCAGTCTCCCTGGCAGACCCCTCTGGGGGTCCAGTCCTTGCGCACTCCTCCACGGTCCTGCCGTGTCCGGCGGTTCCGTTTGGCTCACTGTCAAGTCTTCACCTCCCCTCGTTCTCTACGAACTTGGTGAGTGAAGCTGACCTCCAGGACCAGTGGGTTGACCAGTTCACTCCTGGAGGTCAGCGAGTGACCCACTGTACGTGCTCCCGGACGGGCCAGCACCTGGCCACGTTTACTCGTGCGCATGGCTCGAGTCTGTACACACTGACTACTGTGTCCCCTCAGGTCGCTGCGTCTGCGTCTGCGTTAGGTCAGCTAGCGGCCCCCTGCTCGTGTCGAGCTTTGTCGCACCAGACCCTCCTTTGGCACCACCGCCTTGGTCACCCCTCGGTGCAGCGCCTTCGTAGCATGAACCGCCGTTTCCTTGTCTCTGGACTTCCAGAGACTCTGCCTCCTCTACCACCCTCGCCTGCTCCTCCCTGTCTTCCCTGTGTCGAGGGGCGGCAGCGCACCGCTCCTCACTCCTCCTCGTTCCCTCCCACAGAGGCTCCCCTGCAGACTCTCCACCTGGACGTGTGGGGCCCAGCCCGCGTCCGTGGACAGGGCCACGAGCGGTACTTCCTGCTGGTCGTCGACGACTACACGCGTTACACCACGGTCTTCCCCTTGCAGCGCAAGGGGGATGTCCCTGATATTTTGATCCCCTGGATCCGCGCTACTCGTCTCCAGCTCCGCGAGCGGTTCCAGTCAGACTTTCCTGTCCTGCGTCTGCACTCTGACAGAGGTGGTGAGTTCTCCTCAGACCTCTTGGCAGCCTTCTGTGCGGAGCACGGCATCCGCCAGACGTTCACGCTTCCGGCCACTCCGCAGCAGAATGGGGTTGCTGAGCG